GGATGACAAAGAATGCTAGCAACCCCTCAGAGAAATTCAAACGATCTCTTGAGTGCCAAGAAGAGGATACGACTCCAAATCCTCCAGGGAAACATTGGCCCACCTATGGGACATCGAACGCCTGAAGATTTCATCTATCTTTTATCATTTCAATTGATTTATTTTATTATTCATTATTTTATGAAATAAAATTTTAAGAAGATTATTATGTTCATAACTGTCTTGCTTTTATTTCAAACAGCTTATGACCTAACAAAAAAGTAGACAAGAAGGCAAAGGCGCCCAGCACCAAGAGCCTAGCACCAAATGCCCATCACTAGGCGCCCAGACGAGGGGTCTCTCCGTCTCCACCTTGGGCGGCCCCATGATTTCGCCTAGACAAGGGGTCTCGCCCTCTCCACCTTGGGCGCCCCTATGATGCCGTTAGACGAGCTCTCCACCTTGGGAGCCTCCTATGATGCCTAGATGATGGGTCTCGTCCCCTCTCACTAGGGGTCCAACACCTCAGGCGCCCAGCTCCTCAACGCCTTACTCATCTCCATAGAATAAGTCTTTGCCCTAGTAGTTATCTCAACTGCCACTCGAAGGTCAGCCTCTAGATGGGCAGCCCTCTCATGCGCTAGCCTCAACTGCTCAACGACATCCTCTTGTACCTGCCGCCCGAGCCCTACTGCTCCGTGGCATCCTCTCGTGCCTGTCACCCGAGCCCTACTTGCTCTGCGGCATCCTCTCGTGCCTGCCGCTCGAGCCTTACTCTTCAGCAACCCTCGTGTCTGCCTCTCTAATAAGGTTAGTTAGTCTCCACCATTACTCTATTAACAGGGCACCTATAATTAGAGATAAGGTTAGTTAGTAACTAAGCACCAGAGAGCCGTCCCCCAAACACAACAGTGTCCTAGGCCTCCTAGTGTCGCCCATCTGGAGCATGTTGGTGCGACCTCTACCTCCTCTTTTCCTGCTCACACCATCCAATCTCTTAATACCCAGTCAGCCAGCTCAGAAGCGCCCGCCTGCCTGGCACCTATCTGCCTGGCACCCACCCACCTAGAGCCCGCTTGCCTGGTGCCCATCTGCCTGACGCCCGCCTGCCCTGGCGCCCACCTGCCTGACACCCACAAAATCCTCCACCGTCGTCCAAAAAAAAAAAAGGCAAGGGGCGGCGCCCAAGCCAAGAAGGAAAAGAAAAAAAAATTGAGAGAAAGAAGGGAGTCAAGAAGACCAAGAAGAAAGAAGAAAAAACAAAAAAGGGAGAGACCAAGAAGGTGGCGCCTAGGACAGCTAAGAAAAAGAAAACCAAGGAAAAAAAAAACCAGAGCCCGAAGAGGCCAATAAAAAAAAAAAAAAAAGAGGAAAAGGGACCAACGCCTAGGAGGGCGACGCCCAACCAGGCCAAGAAGAAAAACAAAAGAGAGAAAAAAAAGGGGCAGCGTCCAACAAGCCAAGGAAGAAATTAAAAAAAAAAAAAAAAGAAGAGGAGCAAAAGGCAGGAGCAAAGGGCAGCGCCCAGCCCAGACCAAAAAGAAAAAAAGAAAAGAGAAGGAGGCCCACGCCCAGCCCAGACCAAAGAAAAAAAATAGAAGAGAGAAAGGGAGCAGCGCCCAGAGAGGCGGCACCCAGGAAGACCAATGAAAAAAAAAAGGGAGAGAGAAAGGGGTTAGGCGCCCAAGGAAGAAACCAAAGAAGGAAAAAAAAAAGAGAAAAGAAAAGAAAGAAGACTCGGTCAAATATGGTGGGCTTTGCCAATATAATTTGTTAGAAAATTGCCCACAAATGTGGGGCAGATTACTTTTGGATAAAAGACCACCAAAATATATATATATATATATATATATATATATATATATATATATATATTTGATATCTGTAAACTCAGCAGGGTCATTGAAGATGGAGATGTACCGTGGGAAGCAAGAAAGTTCCAACTCACCCGGATGAAACGAAGCATATGCTCTCGACCCTTTCCTCTCGAAAACATCAGAGGCTCGAGGCATGGGGGCAAATGATAAGCCCGAATTTTACTGGGCCCAATTAAAATAAACAGTGAAGCCCAAGTACTCAGAACCCACAGAGACCAAGGGAAGTTGGGATGATCTGTCAGGAGGAAATTCAAGAAGGCATCAAGAGGCGAACGTCCAAGAGACCAACACCTAAGCGCTTGGGGCGTCGCCCAGGGGTCACCCAAGCCAGGCGCCGCCTAAGGCTGCCCCTTGTCCTCCTACGTCCTCTTGACTTCAATGTAAGCCCAAGCCTACTCTGAACCAAGTTCAAGGTCAAGACCAAGCCCAGTCCAGCTCAAGATCTTCCTCCGATTGAATAGGAGCACAAGGGAGAAAATGTCAAGATAGAGATCTAAACTTACAATGATTGCACTTACCAACATAGTGGAGGATCTCTTACTCACATAACCGCCTCATTGTCTTACCTTAAGTATCTCAACATTGAGGGCACGCCTCTGAAACCTCTACACCACCCCTTATACACACTCTTCTCTCTCCCTCTCTAAGCACTGTAATACTCCTAGAGAATACTCTCTCCAGCGATTTCACCCATTAATAAAAGACTCAGGCCACCGCTGCCGTTTATGACAGTGGAGTAGGTCACCTGGACCGAACCACTATAAATTAATGTGTTAGCTCTCTATCAACTGCTTTACCATTAATTGTCTGTTTATTACTCATTGATTGCCTCTGTTTATATTATTGACTGTTGATCTTGCACAATATCGATTTGTGCATCATCAGGTTGTAATCTCTTGCTCTCCCTCCACATTGGAGATAATAAAATTTCGGCGACCCTTGCCATTCAAAGTGGATGTAGGTCATATTGGCCGAACCACTATAAATTTTGTCTTCTCTCTCCCTCTACTTTACTGTATTTTATATTACTTAATTGATATGTGGTGTGCAAACCAATTTTGTGCATCATTAGTTTGGTGCCATCTATGGGAAAGACATAATTCTTACATAAACATTTTCTTTGCTAAATCAAAGGTGATCACCGTCGGGATCCATGAGTTAGCCTAAAGATATTCCTCCACAAGAGGAGGAGGTTGCTCCACCACCTGCCAATTCCATCCCAAATGCTCAGCAGATGTTGGACACAATGTGGCAGCTTATAGTCCAGAACTAGCAGATTCTACAATTGATACTTGGGCAACAAGGAGGAGCGCAACCTGGACCTCAAGCTAGGGGAGCTTCATTCCTAGGTCATCAAGGAGCTCCCCACCTCAGCGCTCCCCATCTAGGCACCCCATACAGAGGGGCCCATCATGAAGGATCTCCTCCTCCAGCCCCTGCATCTGCTCCCCATGATGGAGACCCTCCTTTCCAGAGGATGATGGTAAAAATCAAAGCATGGAGCATAGGAGTCATATCCGTGATAATTCCAAAAGACCTCCTCCCAATCATTGGGACAAAAAAATTAAGGAGGTGCAAAATCAATTGAAAGACATCTTTAACACCATGAAGGCACAAGGACCCAATATAGTGACCTACCTCGTAAGTCAAATTGACACACCTTTCAAACCTGACATGGTGAACTATCCACTCCCTCAAAAATTCAAGATATCATCCGTCGAAACCTTTTACGGTATGAAGGATTTACTGGACCACCTCGAAACTTTTAAGATCTTGATGCAGCTACATAATGTCCCCAACGAAATCATGTGCAGAGTGTTTCCAACCACCTTGAAGGAATCCGCTCGACAATGGTTCGCCAAGCTCTCCCCAGCCTTCATTGGCTCATTTGTTGAGCTGAGCAGGTCCTTTGTGTCGCACTTCATTGGAGGACGCCGCCACCAGAAGCCTGTCACTCAACTACTCAGCATAAATCAGATTCGAGATGAGAGCCTGAGAAGCTACTTCACTCGTTTTAACGATGAGGTTCTTCAGGTCGAGGAGCTCAATGATAAAGTCAACATGACTGCCTTCCTAGGAGGCTTCCAATCATCAAACTTCCTCTTCTCAGTGATGAAGCGCCCACCAAAGAACATACCAAAACTATTGGGAAAAGCTCAAAAATATATGAATGCTAAGGAAATCAACAGGTCTAGGCAAGGTGAATCATCTCGCGGATCGCCAAAAGCTTAACTTGCCTCTGCACTGTTCTCAAACAGGCAGCTTATCTCTAGCTCAGCAGCTCTTTCGCGGGTCGCCAAAAAGCTTGTACTCTGCACTGTTCTCAAACAGGCAGCCTATCTCCAGCTGAGCGGCTCTCCCGCAGGTCACCAAAAAGATTGGCCTCTGCACTGTTCTCAAACAGGCAGTCTATCTCCAGCTGAGCGACTCTCTCGCAGATAGCCAAAAGCTTGGCCCCTGCTCTTCTCTCAAACAGACAGCCTATCTCCAACTAAGCGATTCTCCTGCGGGTTGCCAATAGCATGGCCTCTACTCTGCTCTCAAATAGGCAGCCTATCTCTAGCTGAGCGGATCTCCTGTGGGTCGCCAAAAGCTTGGCATCTGCTCTGTTCTCAAGTAAGCAGCCTATACCTCAAGCTTAAGGACACTCTCATGGGTCGCCAAAAGCTCAATCTCAAAAGGTGTAGCTCTCTCACGAGCAATCCTAAAACTCTGTCTTTGCTTTTGCGTAAGTAACCTACCTTTCTCTCTAGGTAATTATGTTAGATATTTTAATATTTTGAATAACATTATTTTTGCCATCTCTAGCCAGGCTCTTGGAACTCAGGTCGTCTGCAACCCGAGGGATTACATTAAACTAAATGTCAACATTCGAGCCTCATTCTTTTATGTCCATCTGGTACCGCCGCCTTGTTGCCGCAACACCCCGCGCTTAACACCTAATGCAAACAAGCTCTACTTGCGCTTACCTCCAAACAACGCCCCTTCATTGCGAGCAACAAAATCACCAGCCAACAACGCCCAGTACCATAGGCTCCTCTCTAGCAAGGCCCATCACCATAGGGGCCTATGCAACAGTGCCCAGCACCATGGGCGCCTCTCCATCAACACCCAACGCATGGGGTATCCCATTTGACACCATAGAGCCTCACAGTCAGCGCCCCATGCCAATAGCGTCCCCACTCTAGTGCCCCTTATCTCAGTTCCTACGGCATGGGTTGCCATCTCAGTCTCGACATCCTCAGCACCCAATTTTTGCATGAGGGCCCTCTATGAACTCCCATTTGACAAGACTGCCAAGGCACCCATCCTGCTTGCCCGAGACTGCCAAGGCGTACAGCCTGCTCTCCCAACATGGATCATCATCGTAGCAGCCCCGCTCACCTGGCTTGCTAGCCTCTCTACAACTCATGCCCCAGCGCGCCTAGCTTGCATGCTAGCGGCGCCCGAGGCAAGCCTATACATCTGCGGGCCTCCCTCTCTTGCCTGGCTTGCTCGCCAAGATTGGGGTCGCCATAGCCTGGACCCTCAACACCTCTTCCTCACACACTCCAGACGCGTGCACAACAGGGCGCTCCCCCAAAACCACTCCTCACAGTTGCACACTATTCTGACCATAACTTTTGATCCGAAACTCCAAATGGGGCTTATTATATATCAAATCGAAGCTCTCAGTGAGCCCGAAAAAATTCACTACCTATGGCAGTGAGAGACGCTGTAAAAATTTCAAAAAAGGCTCATAAATAGTTGTTTTTGCCTCACGAAGTTTTTTCAAAAAAAAAAATAGCTGCTCGCCTAAGAAGTTGCCTGCTCGCCCAAAATCACGAGCCCAGCTCTCTGCTCACTATTTTGACCATAAATTTTGGTCTATAACTCAAAATAAGACTTATTATATACCAAATCAAAACTCTCGACGAGCTGATCAAAACTCATTACCGTTGGTAATGAGCTTTTCAAAAAAATCCAAAAAAGGCCTAGAAACAAGTGTTTTTCCCTCCCGAAGTTTTAAAAAAAAATTCAGCTTGCCCAAAAGGCTATATGCTCGTCTAGCACAGTATGTGCTCCCCCAAAACCATGCACCCGATCGTTACACTTGATTTGAAATTTAAAATAGGACTTATTATATACCAAATCGAAGCTCTCGACGAGCTGAGTAGAACTCATTACCTTTGGTAATGAGCTTTTCAAACAAAGTTCAAAAAAGGCCTAGAAATAGGTGTTTTAGCCTCTCAAATTTTTTTTTTTTAAAAAAAAAAAATTCTGCTCGCTTAGAACAGTACCCAGCTCACCCAAAACAATGCCCAGCTCTCTACTCAAAATTTTGACTATAACTTTTGCTCAGTTACTCGAAATGAGGTTTATAATATATCAAATCGAAACTCTCGGTGATCCCTACTTAGAAGTAGATATTTTAGCCTCCTGAAGTTTTTTTAGTTATGCCGGTCAGTCAAAAGTTCAAATTTAATAGAATGTCCTCTTTTCCATGTTCTATTGGACACAGGACATTGGAGGCAAATGATGGGTCAAGCCCAATGGCCCAGCTCATGTTATAAGTCCGGTCCGAGTTTATAGCCCGACTCTAAAAGATTCAACAAATTCAGCCCAATGTACTCAACCCGATCAAGCTCATCAGGCTCAAGGAGCTACTACATCAACAAGGAGCAGACAAGGTCATTGAAGAGCTTCCTCCTCTACCACCTTGGAGTAAGGGTCATCGAATAGCCTCCTCTACACCACCAAGGAAGCATCCAGGAGCCTCACCCTGGAGAGAATCAACCTCTCTCATCCTTGACCAAGTCATTTGGAGAGCATTATAACTTCCTTGATGGTTGAGGAAGTGAGAGGTCGTCAAGATATTTAATTACTATTAAATGGCCTCAATCCGTTATGACTGCCGGACTAGCTATTCAATTACTATACTAAGCCACTATAAATTATAAGTTCCACCAACACTTGGGGGCCATCAGACTCATTTGAGCATAATTCTATCCTCCCCTCTCAAAGTTTGTAATCTTGTGCTCTCCCTCCACAACGGAGATAATAAAATTCTGGCGACCCTTGCCATTCAAAGTGGACGTAGGTCATATTGACCGAACCACTATAAACATTTTCTTCTCTCTCCCTCTACTTTACTGCATTTTATATTACTTAATTGACAGGTGGTATGAAAATCAATTTTGTACATCATCATATGGTAATGATAATAACCTCCTATAATATCCAATTTAATGGTCATTAGGTGGCAAGAAATTAAAGAATTTAATGCTGTGCTATTATAATTTGAATGTAAAGATCTCAATGATATCATAAGTTGTCCAACTCCCTTTAAAAAATATATTTTACATCAAGATATATTTAGTCGGACTTACTAATTTTGAAAATAGGCCCTTTAAAAATAATATCATTGTAATATTGTCATTTTAATTTTACTGTTCACCAATCCGTTGTTTATGCTTGTTTCTAGTAAAATGTGGACCATAAAACGAGTAATTATTTTGGCATTTATTGCTCTGCCCCCAAAAACAGAAACTAAGTTGCACAAAGTACTTAATATAAATTTTGTGTATTGCATTCGTGAAAGGGGCTAGACATGTCATGGACATTGTTAAATAAGAGGTTCTTGGCATAGTTTCTGCCGAGCAATGCAACACTTTAACCAAGCAAGGCTTTAGCTTCAACCAAGCAAAATGTTTGAGAACTTGACCTGAATCTGCAGCGATCAAAGATGATTTGGTCGATAGAAAACTTACTCGAGTTTAGGAAGGTGGTGTTTGGATCTACATGGGAGGATTGGGTTGAATTGAATTTGATTCCGAATTCAATTCAATCCGATGCAAAATGGTCCAATTTGAAGGATTCCTAATGTAATGTATCAAATATTATCCCATCTTTGGATAGAACCATCTAGTTTGTGGGCTTCATTCACATATGAAGATAAAAGATACTAAAATGATAATTGCAACCTTGTATAAATAAATGTAATTCAATCATATACCAAGTTTGGAATAGAATGAAAAAAGTCTAATCTAATAATACTGTCTTATGTAGGGAAAAATAATTTGATTCAATAAATTACGCATTTTTACAATATATTGCAGAAAATATGTTAATAATTTATTTAAATTAATTTGTACAATACACAATTAATCACAAAAATCATATGCATCATGCATTCAAAAAACATGTAGAACACAAACACATAATTGTAATCCAAAAATTATGCTTGTACATTAAAAAAAGACGATGGTAGACAAAAGGTTCCTATTATACAATCGTTTATACACAACGTATAAATTGCCTATTTCAAGACAATTCCTCTAATTATTTGTGTTTGACTCTAAAAAAATACAAAAAAATTGACCACAAATATAAAAGGGAGAAGGAAGGAGAGAGAGAGAGCCAAAACAATAAAATCAAAGATGGTGGGTGTAGCTCCCGTTGATAAAAGGAGAGAGAGAGAAAAAAAAACACAATGGCAACTGGCTGCTGAAATGTTTGGTGAAGAAAACTGTTGAGGGATAGCATGATAAATTGCTCTTCAATCTTGTTGGCAAACAAAGTATTCCACACCACCCGTGGGTTTAAGATATCCAACTCGGAGTGGATATTTAAGGTCATTTATTACGAGCCGAGGAGAACAAGTCCAACGATTATCCCATGAGATTTTTTGCATCCAAAACTGGGATATGTGGGCTCCAAGACTATTTTAACCTAATACCCCATTTAATCCCCACTAATCCTGCCAAACAAATACTACCAAAAGGATACAACTCTATCTTTTTTCAGGATAAAACGATATCCAAACAAGAGATATAGCTAGGAAGTCTCATGAAATCAGAGGCGATGCAAGTTGGATAATAAAGAAAACTATCACAGTTATAGTCTAGGAAAGAAGACTCAAGGCAGTAGAGCAGAAGTGAGAGAGAGACGGCGAGGAGGAGTTGATGAGTGCTCGAAAGTGTATTCTAAATACCCTATTATTGGATTAAAATGTTAAAATGTGAATATAAATAATTAAATATAATTTATATTATTGAATTTAATATCTATTCACACTGAGATATATTTGAACATGATTTTATAATATTTTAAATCTTTAATATAACACTATCGATTGGTGAGAGATAATTTATAATTAGACTTTACACTTTATATTTTTGAGACTTTATTGTTGGACTTTTATATTTATTTTTTTATATTTTTATGACAGCCCATGGAGTAAAAAGGCTGAAACTGATGCTACTGTCACGTGTGTCCGACACTCATAATTTTTATTGGGCTTTATCTTTCTTAAATTATACAAGATTTGGGCTTTAGGGGCTGAAGTAAAAAATTTTGAACTTTAAGAGCAAAAATAGAAAAATTGGAAAAAAGAGGGGAAGAAAAGATATTTTTTAAAAAGGGTCTTGACTTTTAAAACCCTTGCCTTTTTTTTTACTTGGTGTGTGGCGGCTGGCCTTTTCCTTTTACTTGGTGTTTGGCGGCTGGAAGAGACGAAACAGAAGGTAGCGGTTATCTGGGCTGGAAGCAGACGCAGATCAGGGGAGGAGAAAAGCGTCAATGATAGTCAATTTACTCCATTTCTTTGGGGAATTTTTTGTTGTCCATTATATTTATGAGTAACTAAATTCTCAAGTAAGGCGAGAGATGAACTTACACAGTAGATGATATTTTATTTATTTTTAATTTATGTATTTGATTTTTAATTAGTAAAACTCTTTTGTTTTATCATATCTCAATTTATTGTTGATATTTTCTTCTCCGAATAATCATAGAATTTATTCTGTTTATGGATTCAGTCATGTTTTTTCTATTGAATGGATTAGATCTTTGATTATGTTCGAATCAATTATTTATTTATATTAATTTAATTATTTGCTGTAATATTGCTTTCTTGAGCATATTGTCATCGTTTGATTTTTTCAATAGTGATAATAATTTACGTATTTTAAAAGTGGTGAATGATTTTTCAAAGGGTTACATGTGATTTAATTTTAGTTTATAAATCTATACCTTCCAAATGGGAATTTTGGGAATTGAGTTCCTAGTTGAGTTTCAATGAATTAAGAACAATTAAAATACCATATTTGTGCAAGGGATTCCTAACGCTTTACTGTTTGTCAAATTTGAATACTTTTTTCGTTAGTCACTTTGCTTCACTTTAATTTACATTTAAAATTAATTTTTATTATCTAGTAATCATTTAATATTTTTCTTTAGTTTCTTTGTTCATTCTATTATTCTTTTAATTTGTCTCTCTGTAGAATCGACACCCCAAAGTTGTGCTACAATTATCGCGTTATTCTTTGGGTGTAATCAAATTTTGGCGCCGTTGTCGGGGAGACGATAAAAGAATTGGTAGATAGTTTTTCTTTTCAACAGTCTGTAAAAGCGGTAACTTCGTTCCTTCTTTTAGTTTGCTGCATTATTATTATTATTATGATTCTTTCTTTTTGTAATATTTTTATTCTTTTAGTATTTCATTGTCTTGCATGCACAGATATAGGGAGACCTTGGGTAGATTTGTTAGTAGGCCTGTGGTAGAATTAGAATCAGATTTTATAAATCCTTTATTTGAAAATCCATCAAGTCCCAAAAAAATGGGTGAACACGAAGATCAGCCCATTAGAACGCTTCATGATTACCTCCACCCTACACGCACAGCCACACCATCATGCATCATGTTTCCAGTTAATACTTGTCAACTGG